AACATATATTTTAACACTATACTGGTCACACAAATTGCAGTATTTATAAATTAAATATTGATTCATATCCACTGACCTCAAGACAAAACAGCAAGGGGATTTACTTTCACCCACCCTTTCTGTAACATATGCAGCCATGTCCCAAAGTAGATTCTTCAGCTATTCATACTTCTACCTTTCAGGACACTTTCAGTGGGGAATTAAAAGCTTTCTGAGAAGCCCAAGTTCTTCCCAACACTATTCAAAGCTCTCTATCACTAAACTGCCTCAGATACATCTCCTTCCCAGGTCTGCACATTCTAAAAGTTTAATGGTACAAATGACAAATTAAGCTCAGGAGTTAGAATAGAACAGAATAGAGTATTTCAGTTTGATGGGACCTACAATGATCATCTAGTCCAACTGCCCAACCACTTCAGGGCTGACCAAGTTAAAGCATGTTGTTAAGGGCACTGTCCAAATGCCTCTTAAACACTGGCGGGCTTGGGGCATCGACCACCTCTCTAGGAAGCCTGTTCCAGTGTTTGACCACCCTCTCAGTAAAGAAATGCTTCCTAATGTCCAGTCTAAACCTCCCCTGGTGCAGCTTTGAACCATTCCCACGCCCCCTACCCCTGGAAACAAGGGAGAAGAGATCAGCACCTCCCTCTCCACTTCGCCTTCTCAGGAAGCTGGAGAGAGCAATGAGGTCACCCCTCAGCCTCCTTTTCTCCAATCTAGACAAACCCTAAGACCTTAACCGCTCCTCATAGGACTTGCCTTCCAGCCCTTTCACCATTTTGTTGCCCTCCTCTGGATGCATTCAAGTACCTTCACATCCTTCTTAAATTATGGGGCCCAGCCTACACACAGAACTCAAGGTGAGGCCACACCAACACTAAACAGGGGGATAATCACCTCTTTTGACTGGCTGGCTATGCTGTGTTCTGCAGTTTGCCCTCGTGGCTGCCAGGGCACACTGCTGACTCATATCGAGCCTGCTGTCAGCCAGCAGCCCCAGATCCCTTTCTGCAGGGCTGCTCTCCAGCCACTCCTTTCCTCATTTATACTTGTTCCCAGTGTTACTCCATCCCAGGTGCAGAATATGGCATTTGAACTTGTTAAATTTCATGCCATTGATGCTCCAATCTATCTAGATCCCTTTGCAAGGCCTCTTGTCCCTCAACAGAGTCAACAACACCTCCCAGTTTGGTATCATCAGCAAACTTGTTAATGGTTAATAAAACATTTTTTCTCTTACCTAGGCAGTTCCAGCGGGAGACTCTGCCCGTCTAAGATTCAAGCCATCCCCAGGAAGATCTCCTTTCCACTAATGAAATAAGGAACCTAGGGCAATCAGCTTGCTAATTTAGACATGCCAGTTGAGTGCCTAAAGCTGCATGAATCCAAGCAAAGTGCCTTTGAGTTAGGCACTGTGTGTCTGACCCGTGAGACACCCAAGTTCCTTTACACAACCCATAGTGGTTACACTAATTACACGGGTGTCTAAGTACAGTACACAGAATAAAATAAATTGAGTTGTAAAATGCATTTTCAGAGAAGCAGTAAATGCATCCCACTAACACTGTACCACTGCAGTGTTGTTAAGGGGAGGAAAACCAAGACCCAGAAATCAAAAAAAAAATCTTCACGCAAGTGGCTCGTTTATGCACCACACATCAAGTTCTGTCAGTCTTTCATAACTGGAGCCTTATACAGTTTCCCAGTTCCAGTACTTGAAGTATTCTGGCAAAGAGATTCTGTGGCCCTTTAGTAGAAACACTTGGGAAACTGGAAGACTATGAACGTATGGATAACCTTGCCAGCTCAGACAAAAAGACTGCCTAGCTCAGTATTCTCCTCTCCAACAGCAGCCACAAGCAGATGTTCGGGGAAGAGTAAAACCAGGGAAGTATAAATAGCACTCTCTTGAGTATTTCCCAGCTTCTATTTTCAAACCATGGGATTTCCTCCCATGGAGCACATCTCCAAGTACTTGTCCATGTGTCTCTTTGGACCTGTACAATCTTTCTGCATCTACAATCTCTTCTGACATAGTTTCAAAAATCTACCACCTGCTGCAGTACCAGTGACCTTTTTGTGTTCTCTGCACCTGTCTCCTACTAACCTCACTGGGTGGCCCTTGAGTCTTGGTTGGAAAAGGCAGTCAGCCCCTCCATCCCAAATCATTCACAACTTAAGAGTAACAACCATCCACATGTAAAAAGTGCTTGCTTACCTAATCATTCCCCATAGGGAAACTACTCCAGTCTCAAAGATCCTCATAAGAAAAAGCTCTATGCATACAAAGAAAATTTTTTTGTGTACTGCAAACTGGATTAAAAATAAGTATGTGATAAAAATACAGAAATATATTTTATACTCACCAGACATAGAAACACAATTAAAAACCCTATAGTGGTTCTTATAGAAACACTATCTGATTTATTACAATTTCAGATGAGGAATACTAGTTTCAAATGCCAAGGATCCGTGGAAATGGACCTCAATGACATAAGAAGTGAACAAATGAATACAGGTCCCTCTGATATAGCAACACATCTGAAGCACCTGAACGTCCTCAGATACTCCTACCACATAGTTTGAATGGATGACCACATAGATGATGGAAGTGCTTCGCCAAGGGTCACAGGTCCTTTGTCCCCACACAGACACCACAGTATACAGCACTGACACTAACATATTGCTCAGTAGCTCATAAGCTGGTCAGTATTTTGACAACACAATTCTTTTGAAAAAATAAAATGTATTTTCAACCAAAATAATTACATTTGGTTTAGTTCACTCATGTTAGAACTAGACAATATGAAACAAAATTTTTCATTTTTTACATCTACATTTGAAATAGAACATTTTCTACAAAATTGATGCTGTCATTAAAAAGCTTTTGAAACTACATTCTTCAATTTTCACTCCCACTTGAAGTCATTTCACATTTCATTTATAAATAAAATGAAAAACTCCTAAAATTTCCCACACAGAAAATTCTGATTTTTCTTAAAACCTTAATGAAGTATGCAATCTTTTGCAGTGGTGACAGCAGCATATCAGGTGATAGTCCCAAGGCTTCAAAGAGCACAGGCGTGTTTTCTGTATCAACGCATCCTCCTGATGCACACTCCTTCCACTGCTGTAGCTAATGCTGTTTTGTCTCTTCCCTCAGAAAATTCTTTAAAACTACTGCAGAATCGCTATAATAGAAAGACTATAGTGTTTTCATTTTTAGTCTTTCTATTCACCTGTCAGACTACTGTCCTTAACCTTCTGTTTTCCATTTAAAAAAAAAAAAAAAAAACCTAAGAAAAAAATTAAACTCTCCTTCAGGTTAAAGACACTAGCATATGCTTAAACATAGTGATCTTAGTGTTCTGCTGAACTGGAACAAACATACCGATGTTCATATGCAAATCAAATTTTCAAAAACATTTACATCATAGAGAGTTTTGAGATTTTCCTTATTGTATTTGCAGTAAGTAAATTTAAAGTTATTATAGCATAACAAACTTTGCAAACTATTTCCTATAGTATCATTACAGAATAACTAAAGTTTTCAAGCCGTTTTTCATATTAACAATTTTACTACAAATACTTGATGAAAAAAAATACAGTTTTACTTGTGACTATTCTTCCTGTTCTATTCCAAAGAGATCCAAACTGGAACATACTTATTTCTGATGAGATATTTTTACAAGATATGCCACAGCATAATGATAATGTATACAGCATGTTGAGTTGAAAGACTGTATGTGAAAGATATTCTGAAGCAGATACAGTCACTACCACCTGCTGCTACCTGGCATCCTCAGTAAACTACCTGAAGTAATGATCGGAGTCCCACTGCTCATCCTTTATATTCAATGGAAAGTTTTTGATTATTTCTTTCCTTCTGAATTTTTGACACTGATAAGTCTATAACTTCCTTTATGAAATCATCATTACATACCTGAAGGCAGGTATGAAAGGACACACACACAGTCTGATGCATGTGCCATGTTTTACCCATCTGCATATTTCTCCAGGAGAACACTGCCTGTAACCCATCATTTAAAGATGACAAGAAACAAATGCCACAACATTCTTATAAAAAATTCATGCAACACCCTCATCTAGCAACATCAATTACTTTATCTGTGTCCTACACCATTAGCTGTAAGACTAAGAAAGCTACTCAGTAGGCAAGGGATTTAATGAAATATACCCTGAGGTCCTGTGAGGATCACCTGTGGTTCCAACTCTAACACTTCTGATCAAATACAAGCTCTCTTCCTGCTGCTGAGCAATAGGCTTTTCTGGATCGTGATCAAACATGCTCTGAAGGAGGGAGGGTGTAATAATATTGTGTAAAGTATTCAAGTGTGTAGGAGAACAATTGATTGTGGTGAAAGGGAGGAGAAGAAACTATTTTAAAAATAATAGAAATCGACAGCTTTTACATTTAGGTCACTTGAGCAGCAAAACAAGTTCACAGCAATTCTTTCAATAAGCAACAATACAACTAAGGATATGTACTAATCACCATTAATAAACCACATGAGCCAGCATAAAAAAATACTGCCTTGCACTGTTACAGGTTCCCAGTTTCCACAAATATTTTCAATTCTGTTACCCATCTAAGGCTGAGGCATCAAGATACAAATATTACAGAACAAACATCTCCCAGTGGCTCTCTAATGAAAGTAAGAACCAAAATAAACAGCATCCAAAAAAACCCAACCCGCTTATCAGTGAAATGTCTCAAGTTCTCTTCCTAGAGTCCCACTGCCTAACAAATTTAAGTACTGCCTGCTTCCTGCTACTTTCAGTGCAAGGCTGGAAAGGGGAAAATTGGACTTCTCTTCCTCTGCAACAAAGAGATGAAAAATTCCTTCTGAACAAACATTCCTTCTTAACCCACACATTTCTTACCTTGAAATCTAGTACATTCCAGTCTTAAATTTCCTTTAAAAAAGCTGACAATCTCCCATCTCTGGGTGAACTTCACATTCCAGGTAAAATCTTACCTAATTTTGGCAGGGAATAGGGCACTTTGAAATAATCTTCATAAAATTCAATAAGTCTCCTTGTAATATTTAGAGCATAGTCCCCCGATCCTCTTCGGATTGCATCAGGTCTTGCATATAACCGTACCTGTTAAAAAACAAAGCGAAAGACTGATCATTTCAGCGTCTACATTTTAAAGCTATCCTATCTGCAGAGGTGAACTATTCTAAGGTTGTTGTGAGGCGACAGGATTATTCTCTTAAAGCCAAATGTGACTGTCATAGGTTTGTCAAAACATGTCATAGCTGAAAACCAGAACTTCCACAATTAAAGTTACAAAGTTGAGAAGTCACAATCTCCTACTCATTTGTGTTGCCAAATAAAAGACTTAACACTCCTTGCATCAAAATAAATATTCAAAGAAAAACACTTACATGTGTTTGCTAGAGATATGATGGGAGAGTGGATTAGTATAATGGTTCTCTGCCTACACTGAATGTAGGCAGGATGCAGTGGCTCAGTAGGAGAGAAGTTCACGGTTTGTTAAAGGCACATTATATCGAGCCCTGAAAGTATTAGTAGACTGTGGAGTAAAAAAAAGAAATCATTCTCTTTTCTCTTCTCTGGCAGTGACACAGTTACCCTCGATGAGCTATGGAAGACTGCAAAAACAACCATTTATAAGCTCATTCATGTACACAAACAATTAACATTCCTGAAACCTCCATGACTGCTTCAGGCCTCTGTTTTCAGAAAGCAGTAAGTTAAAGCTGTTTATACAAGCCACAGACTGCTGTGTTCAGTATAAAACAGCTCACACATCTGACTATATGGAGCACCCAAGTGAACAGAACTCACCTTCGTAATTCAGCACCCAAGTGTGACCAGCTTCCCTCCCCATCAATGAGGCAGCGGAAAGCACCACCAGGTTATTCATTATTCTCTGTCCTTACAGTCCTTAACGCTTCCTTAGTGCAAAGATGACATACAGCTAATGAGAACTGTTAACCAAGAAAGGGATCGGACGCAGAGATGCTTTTCACTCTTCCTCCTCATACGCAGCCAAGGGGAAGCAGTGTGTGCTTTGTCTCTAGAGGCTGTGGCAGAAGGTCTCTCCCTGAAGTACATAATGACCTGATACAAAGGAGACTCTACTAAATGTCAGTCCTAATAATAATATCCGACTCGCTAATACTTTCTGTGGCAGGATTAAATCCCAGCCAGGGTTCCAAGGAAAGCAGCAGGGCAGAAATCAGAAAATATCAATGCAAACATGAAGCAGAAATATCAATTTTGAAATGTTTCTAAATGCTCTATTCTGGACCAAGAAAAGCCAATGAGATTTTCAGCTTCAGTGAAAGCATTACCAAGTATTGCTTTACTGCTCTTTTCCTGAACCTGTTCAGTTACCCACGTGGAAACCAGATATCAAACCTCAGTACACTGCATCTGTCAGTTCTGTTTTAACCCGCTATCTCTTTGTTTTCAGTATTCAGACACATTATTCTGCTTTGTTACTATGTCCATCTTTATATTTTTATCTTTGTTTTATACTAGACTCAGTGCACAATTGTGCTGGTTTTGGCTGGGATAGAGTTAATTTTCTTCCTAGTAGCTGGTATGGTACTGTGTTTTGGATTTAGGATGAGAATAATGTTGATAACACACTGAGGTTTTAGTTGTTGCTGAGCAGTGCTTACACTAAGTCAAGGACTTTTCAGCTTCTCACACTGCCCTGTCAGTGAGGAGGCTGGAGGTACACAGGAAGCTGGGAGGGGGCACAGCCAGGACAGCTGACCCAAACTGGCCAAAGGGATATTCCATACCATATGACGTCATGCTGAACAAAAAACTGGGGAGGCTGGCAGGGGGGGCGGCTGCTGCTTGGGAGCTGGCTGGGCATCAGTGAGCGGGTGGTGAGCAATTGCATTGTGCATCGCTTGTTTTGTATATTCTTTTATCATTATTATTATTTTCCCTTCTTTTTCTGTCCTATTAAATTGTCTTTATCTCAACCCATGAGTTTTACCTTTTTTCCAATTCTCTCCCCGATCCCGCGGGGGCGGGGGCGGGGTGAGCGAACGGCTGTGTGGTGTTTAGCTGCCTGCCGGGTTAAACCACAACAACAATCAGCCATACATAGTTATCATTTGTACTGTAAAACAGATAACACTGTAACCTAATGAGACATGTAATAAAGCAGACGTCTCATAATCACCACCTGAAAGCATATAAACCATTATCCGAACACTTCCAAGTCACTATTTTTGTTTACTGCTTCCTTCCAAAGTTAACAGTGACATGTACATTAAATGTTCCCTTATCTGCTAAACTAAATATATTTTTTAAGATAGATATTAACCACAGAGATCCTAATTCAAACATCTCAAAACCTTTAGTTTATGCAAGGATGGTAAGAATCACAATTAGATTTGTGATGAACACTGTTTTGTATCATTAAACCTTTATACACAATTTTACATAATTGCTTTACTGGCACAGTTGACTGTATCAGCAAATTGGGAAAAAAAGAGTCAGCCAACCAAGTATGCAAAATATCATTCAATTTGACAGTGGCCAAATGCGTCCATAATAAGGAACAGGACAACAGAAGGGAAGAAAAAAATAGGTACGTACAAGAAAAATCAAGGTTCAACTTACTGCATTACAGTGTGTGTCTTTTGGCAAATGCAGAAAAGGCATTTAATGGTATCTGAGATGGATCCTAGGTACCAAAGCTCAAAAACCGCAATGCTGCAAACTTTCATTTGCCACCTGCCTAATGCTGAATATAGTTTTATTTTGCCTGTAAAGTTTCCCTGGGTGCCTCTCTGCCTGCCTAGAAGAGCTCTGGACTGCCAGGACTGCACAGCTCACACCAAGGTCACCCCTAAGCTGAAACACAGTTCAGAAATTACCCGTGCCTTCGCCCAAGTCTCTCAGGGGCTTTGAAGCGCCAGGCATTGCCAAAGCATGCCAGCCATCTTCAAACGCCGGGTCTGCTTCTGCCTTCCGCCCAACCACCACTGAACGTGAAATGTATGGAGGAACCTTAGGGGCACCATCTCAGACTCACCCCTGGCCTCAGCAAATTCCCTCTCGGTTAGCAGAGGGCTACCGCAGGGGATGGCCTGTGACACTCTGCCTGCCCAGCTGGCTGGTTTGGATGACACCTTCTCAGGTGTCATTCACGATCGAAGGAGCTTGGTGCAGAGTTCAGTCTAACGGCTGGCATCTATAAGCTTGAAATTGAAGCCCCTAACTTCCACACACTGATGTCCTTTAATGTGTATGGGCTTCTCTTGACCATGTTTTACCTCCAACTCCATAAAATAGGGATTATATTATTTCCGTAGCTTACACGAACATTCTGAGTGTTAAGTAATAACGACTGTAAAGTTTTCAACTACTGCTCCAAAGAGGAGCTTAAGCAAATAAAACAGAATGAAGATTAAGGCATGAGATTTGTTTAGCATAATTTTTCTGTTTGTTTACTGCTTTCATTTCAAGAGGCAGACAGGTTGTGTTACTTTATAACTATGCTGGACTGAACAATAATGTATAATTATTACACACTTTCCCACAGGCTGTTTGATCACTATACTAAGAATTTGATTTTAAATTAATTGAAGTAAGAGAAAGAACAGAAAATCTTCTGCAGGGTCAGACCTAAATATAAATAAAAGTAGTACGTGTTCTACAAAAGACAAATAGGTTTCTAGCTTAGGTGCATAATTCATCACTCACTGCAATGGCACCTACTGCCCTGCAACTATTAGTGAAGCTCTTTTTCACAATCTTTGCAAGATTAGGTTATGCTATTATTTTCATGTAAGGAAGTGGAGAACAAAGAGAGACTGAGACTAATTCTGGGTGCCTATCTTGACAACTCTCAATGTCAAGTATACTTAACAGTTTTATTGCACACACTTAAAGCACTGTTCCCATTATATCTTATTGTAGTGGCAAATGCTTTATACAGCTTTGAGTCTGGTCACAGGTGCCTTAGTTTGGGTATTAAGAAAATTAGTAACACATGATTAGTGACTAAATGAGACTGTGTCAGTTTATGTGATTTGCTCAGCATCTCATAGCAACTCTGGTGGCAGAGGCAGGGATGTAATTCAAAGATGGCATTCAGCCTTACGGCCACCTGACAGCCTGCACACCAAGCACCTTCACATCTGGGAGTTAATAAGGTAGGGACTGTTCAGACAACAGCCATATTCACAGCACACTGGTGGTGTCCTGATGCAGCGTAGTTCCCTGTGTGTCTAAATGATGAAAATACTGGAATATGATAAGGTCAACCTAAATTCTGGGGTTTTTTCTTAACTCCTTTTCACCTACATTTGCAACCATTACCAATCTTTCAACGGAAGTTCTGACTACTAAGGAAAAAAAAAAAAATTCCAAACCTCTCATTTCTCTCTCAAATGGAACCAGACTGACTGTCACCTTCCTACCACAACTTTGAGTAACTAGGTTTGTACCTTCAGCCCTATAAGCCAGACCTCCCCTTTGGCATTTATAAGACACTGTTGTTCTTATACCACATAGCCGCTGATGGAGACCAGATACACTTTGCTATAAATCATTTTCACTTTCCTTAACAGCAGAGCAAGAAGTTATTAGAGATCCTAATGAAATCACTGCAATGTATATTTTCTCATTCTTTTCTAAAGTGAGCAAAAATGTGAGTTGTTTCCCATTGTTTCCTTTCCAGAAGCCCTGGGCTATTGTCATTCGAACTTTAAAGACAATACAATAGCCACACTCAGATACCACCACAGAAAAATCATCCTGAAGGATTAATTTAAAAATATTAGTAACCTAACTCAAGTTCTTAGAATGACTTTGGCAGCATTATTGCTTAAAATACTAAAATATTCCTGAAACTTGTATAGTAAATTCCATGTATTTGTTATAAGTGATGAATAGTCTACTTCTCTATAGTTAGTCAAAAGTATTTGCTGGACAAAAAGTGTACTTTGACAAATAATTTGTACAGATTGCAACATTTTCTGTAGTCTCTCTTAATATTTCAGCATTTGTTACATAAAATAAGTCAAAGTAATATAAAAATATTTGTAATACCAGGTCACCAGAACAGATAAATATGACTGTAAAATGAGAGCTGTTTCCCA